GGCGTTCGACTCCGATTTCCTTTCGCTCGACTTCGCGTCGCGACGACGCGACGATCCGCTCGCGCGAATGTATGCCGTGCGTGCGATACGTTTTCTCGACAAGCACTCGAAAAAGAAAGAAGTCGCGTAAGGTGCACGTCTCCACTCGAGATGTCGAGGATAAAACGTTCATGCCGAGAGAACGACGCGATAAAAATGACGTGTCCGCTTTGATATCAATCTACTATGTGCCGTCGATGATCGAGCACGTTTTATTGTAAGTGTAATTTCGCAGAAACGATATATTTAATAATAACCGACGAGGTTTATTAATTTACACAATTCAAACGATCGGATTGTTCAAACGATCGCTGTTCGGTTATGCGGGCCTTATCTTTGCTAACTCAGTAAACGATACGGACCGCAACCGAAAGACCGATAAGATAACAGCGGAAGATGAATAATCGTCCAAAGATGAAGTACAAAGACGTGCCCCGAGCGTGAATATTAAAAACAATTATTATATTTACATATATAATTCACAGAATCACTAACTCGGTATTTTATATTTTTTTGTTGTTTTGACCAAGATTATCAAGTTCACGATGTTTTTATCATCTTGTTGAAAGTCAAGCGGAGTTTTTAAATCATATTACTCGTCGTTCTCTTATTTGTTCGACAAGCGTTGACATTATTATGAAGAAGAAATGTGACATCGCCGATAGGAGCACGGTTATTTTTTAATGATATAGCGATAATTATTGATAATTGTGACGTTTATACGATTTCGTGACATACATTAAATCAGTATCGATAAATAATTGACAGCCGCCGCGTTTAATCTGAAAAAACGATTTCATAACATGATTAAAAAATAAGCAATTATCAGCTGTGAAATTTTTACGAATTATTCAATTATTTGCTTGGATTAACGGCGTTTATCCTTGCGCTACGATCGTCCGGTCCTTGGAATTAAATGCTTTCGGGGAAATCGCAATTCTCTCATGTGACATACATTTTTGGATTAAACTCCTTTTCTCTCTCTCTTTTTTTTTACTCCTGCGACATTTCAATCTCGCACCACCTTGGGATCTCGTAATTGAAAACCGTAGCACGTATTTTCGAACGTGAAGCAAATTCGGGTTAAGGTCTCGACTGACTGGTCGTTTGTCGATTGGCTCGTTTCGAGAAGCAGCACTTAAATAAAAAAAAATGAAGCAAAGCTTATCGTCTCGCTCGATTCGAGTTTAATAATTATATTTTTAAAACCAAAGTTCTAAAAAAATTTATACCAACATCAAATTAGACTGTCACATAAATCTTTAATTCGTATTATATATTATTACATACGTTACATTACACATGTTAAATTATAATATTAAAATGACTTATAAATGTTTTACTTTTGATTAATATAACGTTTATAGAAATTTAACTAATATTTATAATTTAAATAAGATACAAATCAGAAAAGAATCTTGTTGAACTATCAAAATAATTACGTAGGAAACTCTCAAGTATGATGAGCGAAGCTGAAAAAATTTCTATATTCTAGCAATTAGCTTGTCTGAACGTTCTTTATAATTATTTTTATGGTCCGAATTATTTTTTGATCTGTGTATCTAGTTAAATTTTTAGAAACTTCATCAAAACCGTTCTTTCTGTGTACTAACAATATTTATGCGAATATCTCCACTTTCAGAATTTTAATAAAATATATACTTTCGTTATTCACATCACTCGAACTCAAGAAAATGTTATCTTTACTCTCACCTACATTTTACTGCTTTCTTCTTATAAAAATATCAATCCCTTTTAACTTTTTCTTCCTTTCTTTTTTCTCTAATATTTTCTTCTTTTTTCTAATCTGTATAATACACACAAAAAAATATTTTGCTGCTCCAGCTAGAATTATAGCTGTTTTTTGTATCTGATAGAAAATTATATATCGTACGCATAGAATTTATAGCACAAATATAAATTCTATCTCTGTCATCTATACGATTAGATGCAATACATATTCAATATCGCAGTACCTGCTAGAAATTTATCTATTCCAGCTATTTTTCGTACTTAGATAATTTTCGCTGTAACTGCAAGATCACTTTTTTTCAGTGTATTTTTATCCTTTTTTACCTTCATTATTTTTTATTTTTCTTTATTCTATTGGTCAAAAATATAAAGCTACAGAGAATGACACTTTATCGTAAAGATTTTAAAACCTTTTAGGTCTTCAGAAAGACATAGTGTGTCTTTTAAAAGATTTAAGATTTTAAGCAGACTCGCGTTGGCGAGTATCAAACAAAACCCGAGGAGAATTACAGAAGGCGCCAGTCACCATGTGAAATATTTGTCTTCAATTAAGATAAGATCGGCAACTTCCTTCGGTGAGCTCTTTCCGTTCAGGGTGTTAATTCGGCATTGATTTCTTCTATCTGTGTTATCGCACGTTACGGTGTGTTCGGTGTTTAAAAGGCAGTCTGGCCGATTGTATCTATATCTCGGTTTGTCTACACATGGTAAAGGTGTCGGTCGAGATGATGCGAGAAAGGACGTCGACTTGACTCGCGTGTTCATGGCTTCCGCCAGTTGTCACGCACACGAGAGATTGTCAACGTCCGCGCACCGAGAATATATACAGTCGTGTGCAGTCGTGCCTACGTACTGCGTGTATGCACACGCAGTATTTATGAGAAAAGGACAGAGAGAAGGAGAGAGGAGAGAGAAAGAGCCGTAACGAGCTTTCGTCGAGCGTCTCTCACATGGCTGGCCACGACGATCCAAGGAGAAAGTTTCTTTCGTCGTGACGCCTAGCTCGACGATTAAGCGACTACCAAAGAATGCATTTAATGGTCTACCGTGTCCGTTATGCTTGAAAGTAGAATGCTACTTTTATATTTTTATTTTAATTACTCTGAGTATCTTGGATTTTATTGGAGATGGTCACCGTTACCTTCATGGCTAGAAAGTATCATGGGGTTTTTTTTTTATTGTAGCGGATATAATAAAGTAATAAATAAGTATTAATTGGTACAAATACTATAGATATCAAAAGATATATCGAATGACAATTATTGATAAGCTTCAGTGTAATACAGTACTTTCTTTAATTCTATATTGAGTAAAACTCTGATTCATCAAGAGCGACTCATCATGCTCTTTTCTCAAATAAATTATTAATAATATAAATATTATATATATTGTTGCTTATTTTATTAATATTAATGATAATGCAAATTTATTAACATATTAATTTTATTAATTATTAATTAATTTGTATCTTTAAATAAATTATAATAATATTAATATTATTTTAAAGACGTATATTAATATTTTATCAATTTATATCTGTGAAACGGTTAACTTATAACAATATTTCCACTCGTTTGCAATTACAAAATTACGTTTCTAAATTACGACAAATAATTTAGAAATAACTATATATATATATTTAATTATATAAACTGTTCAATTTTAACATCCTTGACTCTAATCTCTTTGTAACATCAAACTACTTTTTTAACTTTTTTAATGATAATTGTCACGATAAAAATATCGTACAGCTATTTAAATGAACGAGAGATATCGAATGCTTTACTTTCCAATGGCCATCTTCACCACTCGTTATCTTCTCATTGCGGGGATGTACCAGGCATAATTTTCATTCGAGGTCAAGACGCCGACGATCATTTTTTATGTGGATAAGACGCGCACGTGTTGACATCGTCATTTTCGTTTTCGCGCGCACGACCTTACGTTATTACTAAAAATACACCCGACGACGCGACCAGCGGCGTTTAAAAATAGAGAAGAGCAACAATACTATCCCACGCCGAAAAAAATGAGATACTAATTCGCAGACGGCTCCCACGTTTCGAGGTGACATCGAAATAACAATCGAGACTAGTTCGATGACTATTCCGCATTCCCGTCCAACGTTGAGAGTATAATGTCATTGTGTTGGCAGATTAAAAGGATGCGGTCCGCTAAAGTGGCTCAATTTGAATCAATTAATACTAGACCAATTAATACTAATCTTGTGATCTCCGGTCGAGAATTAGTAACAGTTGAATTCCATGTGTCTTCGAAATACAAATCAGACACGCAAGATCAATTAAACGTCGAATTAAATGGTAGTTATTGACGACTTTTGCAGGAAAGCATTTCCTTCTTACGGGACAGTCTGATCGGCACGGTAAGTCGCGAACGCATTTCGCACGTTCGTCATGGATTTTGCCACGAAAAGGATGATTTTGCTAATTATCTAAAAATTCAGCTGGGCAGTCTGAAAATAATCTTGTTGGACCATCAAAATAATTATGTACACTGAAAAAAAATTTACTACAAAATCTTAATACACATATACACACATCTCTTTGAATATAGTAAACATTTACTAACAATAAATATTTATTCGACAAAAAAAATATAGTTAAATCAAATTAATGGTTTTTATGTATCAGATAAATATACATGTTTATATTTAATAAATATTTACTCAGAACTATTCAAAGTTTACTCACAAATATTAAAGTTTAATTTTTTTTCAGTGGAAATTCAAATATAATGAGAAATGTTTGCAAAAAATTTTGATATTCTAGCAATCAGTTTAAGCGCTCTATACAATTATTTGCATAGTTGAAAAATTATTTTCAATTAATTATTAATAGAAATAATCCTATTTTCTCACACAATAATCAAGCATATCTTAATACCTAATAATGCAAATTTCTACAAATATATTAATTCAGTTTTATAAACTGCGCGCTGATAAGGTTTATCAGATTTGAAACGCAATCGCAAATTGAAGCTGAAATTAATACCTCAAATTAAATTGATCGTCCATTTTAAGAGTGGAGCTAATAATCATCTTAAAAACTTTATTTCTTGTAAATAATTAAAAAAAAATTATTTTCAGATCTGTGCGTATCTAGCTAAATTTTTAGATACATCAACAAAACTCTTCTTACGTGTGGCGAAGAGAAAAAAACCGAGGAGGAGAGAAGAAGAGACGCGCTCACCTTTATGATCTTGTATTTTTTCTTGGTCGCCTGATTGAGATCCTCGTGCACCTTGTCGAGCAGCCAGAGAAGGAATTCCTGGGCGT